AATCTGCTGTTTACGTTTAACGATTGATTGATTGTTGACTGCTTAACGTTCAGTGGCAATTTCAAAGTTTAATGAATATCTATGCAGGCTTGAGAAATAAATTATTGCTTTTCAAAATACTTGAACTCCGGATTGTACCTTAATTTAAACAGTAAAAATGAAAGTTCATTTATCAGTTAAGAACGGAAAAGGGAAAAGAAAATATTTAACAAGTTATTCTGGTTACAGTCCTTTGATCACGTTAAAGAATCTTCTTCATGATCAGATAAAAAATGTCTAGTTTAGTAAATGACATAACCCTAGCAACATAAATCTCTTCTTATTTCATCAGTCAACTAGACGGAGCAGAATTAAATGAAACATAAGATGGTTTTTTTCATTGTTGATGACCCATGGTTGCTAGCTTCTGCGTCATTCGGTCTTGCAATCATATCCCATCTTCTTATTTTTATATTAAATGTAACAAGACAATCTGCTTCAAATGTATTACAAATACAAATACAGATAGATAGTTTATTCTCATAAAACCATTAAGTACATAGGTTATAGAGAAGTTAAAAACATGCATAAAAAATAATAGATGAGATAACATAATATTTAAAATATAAATAAATAAATGAATAAATAAATAACTAAATAAATTAAAAAAAAAATATATAGTTAAATAAATAAAAATATGAGAATACAAAAAAAAAATGAAAATAATTACAAATACAAATATCAAAATAATTCATAATAAGGTTTTGGTATCTATATGACATTATCTTTACAATTAAAAGAAGTAAAATGAACAGCATTCTGGGTAAGTAATGACGATAATTGTGAATTCATTCTATAAGTTACTGAAGAACAACTTTCTTGCCCGGTAGTTATTAAAAATATAACAACATAAATAAAATTGGATTAACGCACTGGCTGTCATTTTCATGCTTGGTCGCTCTATGCACTGACCAAGCTTATTTCTATACCTTTATAATTTGGTTTGTAAGAATAAAGATATATATTAAAAATGTAAGTTAGTGGACAGATCTAATTTCAATTAGTTTGAGAAAAGAATGTCGGTTTCAGTGATATTGAATTTTGTAATCGTTTGTTGCATTCACAGCTTTTGTTTTTGTTAAATATACTGAGTAAAAAGTTAAGCAGCATATTTTTCATTGAAAAAACTTTAGATAAAAAACTAAAAACCACACCAAGTTGCAACAATATAGGTTTGATAAATATTTTTCGCATTGAAATATCACCTTATGGTTCATTTCTTTGCTATAATCATTTGTTTATTGTTTGTTATGTTTAAAGATAAAGTTATTTTTTGCAAAATAAGATTAAACATATTTGTTTGATTAACTTATTTGTTGAGGCTTATCTTTACGGAGACATGTATATGTCCCTAGATTTACTTGTTTGGCTTATAAAAGTTTATAGAATCCCGCAAACAAATATTTCCAGCGATTGTCTAGTTGGTTTGAAAGGAGCATGTCATACAATAAAAAAACCTGATGCAAAGAAAATGTATAAATATAATAGTAAAAACACAATAAAAAGGTTAAAAATACATGAATTGAAGCAATTATTTGAGTGTACTCAACTTAATTCCTATGTGATTTATTATCGTCACTTTGTGTATTACATTCGGCTTATGAAATTTGAATGTCATTTGATCATTCAGATTTTTTTTTATTTCTAATTGATGTAATAACTTAGTTAGTTTAAGAATACGATTTTAGGTAACACCATAGTTTTGGCATGTTTAATTGTTTCCAGCATAATTTTAGAACGAGTTTAAAACAGCAATATAATAAGGTTAAATTCGGAACTGATAAAGGTTTAAAGTATATTCTATTAAATTTCATATTTCAAATTACAGTAAAGATAAAATAAAAATTTGTCCTTAACATTGAATAGTGATATCACATGACCATTTACCTTCCTCGTATGTCGAAAATGGTGCGTTAACTTCATGGTATGTAATCTAATTGTTTCCTTGGTTAACATAATAATATCGGTAAGAAATAATATACATGCATCATTTATAGACGTAGCTTTTTATATACTTGTACTTATTTCTACATCGTCTGTTTGATCATATATCAGACTTTCGTTTTGTTGTGATAAAAATAAGTCATATATTTATAGTACTACTTTCTTCCATTTATACGACCAATTGACCTAATGTATATGAATAAAAAAATCAGACAATGTTCTTTAGATTCAACCTTGAAAGCAACAATATTTCCGTTGATCTATGCTTGTCAGATAGTTAGTTTTTTCGTATTAATTAATCACCAGCCTCGACCTCAACTTCAAATGTACCGTATTCACTAATCGATATAATTTGTATTTTAACCCACTTAGAATTACAATAACGTGTAATCTATTTATGAACTTCTTAATATATGCAGTATGTTCATAAAATGCAAATGAATAAAAACATAACACGTTTTAGTGCCGTCTTTATCTATGTTCCCGATAACGATGGTTAAAGGCTTTAATATATTGTTTATCTTGTTTTCATTATAGGTTCCTTTTTGACTCTTTTGATTAAAGTTCTTATTGAATCTCCTCCGACTGTTGTCTGATTTTTTTCTTCAGATTATGGTTTTGTCGCTCCCCTACGATAAGTTTCCTTATTTTTTTTCAGATCATGGTTTTGTCGCTCCCTACGATAAGTCTCCTTAAATTTTTATACTTACACTGCTTTTCTATAAAATAAATGAATCTTTAAAAAAAAAGTCTGTCCGTACTAGGACGAATAAGTATGTGCTTTGTTGGTGTCAGGCACGATGACGTTATCAACTTTTTATTTTCTTCAAATTCAAGAAAAGTTTTTTATTCAGAAATTTAGTTTGTTTAATACCAATTATTTTCTTCTTCTTATCCTTGCTGTTATCAGATAAGCACATTAAAAAATTTAAAGGTACATTTCAACAAGCAATTAAAGCGAGAGAAAGTATTAAATACCTAAATCAATATAAATTAATTTGTTTTCATTATGAAACTAGGATGATATCCACTTTCTCCTCACATGTAAAAAATTAGAAACTTTATAGAAATACATTTATAAAAGAACTTTGTAGTACTTATCCTGATTTAAAGAAATGTAATACTGAAAATATTTTTATATGGCTAATTGATTGTGAGAATCTAGAAGTTCTAAAACGCTTATGTAATTTGATAATCAGATTCAAGCTTCGCTCTCACCCCATATGGAATTTACTGACCCCATATATATCGTATTAGGTCACTAACACACCATGAAACTAATAATATATACATATCTGTTTTATTTTTTATATATATATACAAGTCTAAATTGAAAACAACGTTCAAACCTACGCAATCTTTATACGTGTGCATACAAAACAAATTTCTTGGTAGAGGGGTCTAAATACAGCACAAACAACATTTTCCAAAAAACCAAAATGTGAAAAAGTATATTTTAACAAAACGCATTTGACTAACAGGTCGAACAACGGATGTTCTTAAACCCTGCCGACTGCCATGGCGATTGCCGGCCAAATAAACGTATCACAAGATGTAACAAAATGGATCTTAACTATTAATATATATATATATATATATATATATATAAGAACTTTTCCTCCTCGTTCATCTGACTAAAACTTTCACTTTATTAGATATGACAGTAAAAACTTGCTTTCGCTTATTGTTGTATTTGTCACATTTAATTATAACAATTTTAATAACGAAAGTTTTTAATACAAATATGTATGTAATCATGACAACTGTCCCAGCTTAGGGGAGGGTTTGAAGCCAACAAAATAGAATAACCCCGCCACATTCTTTACGAGCCTGTCCCAAGTCAAGAGCCTGTAATTCAGTTGTTTTCGTTTGTTCCTGTGTAACATATTTGTTTTTCGTTCATTGATTTGAACATAAATCGGGCCGTAATTTTCACGTTTGAATTGTTTTATATTTGTCATTCAGTCGGGGCCTTTTATAGCTGACTATGCGGTATGGGTTTTGTTCATTGTTGAAGGCCGTACGGTGACCTATTTTTCTATGTCATTTGATCTCTGGTGAAGAGTTGTCTCATTTGGAATCATACCACATCTTCTAATTTTTATGTATGCAGTATTTGCCATTGAATATCTAACTTCCAAACGGACATCCATGCGAACTCCGAAAGACCTTTGGCTTTTATTGAACTACTGTATAAAATAAATTAGAATAGATAAAAAATAAGTAATGGAGATATATTTACTTTCCAATTTTTTCAAAAATTTATATAAAATAATGTTAGGTTACATATCAGAAATGGCGAAAAGTAGAAATTTGCTCTGCAACTTTAATACGAGGGCATGTTGAATATGGCCAGAAATTTTTCCTTAAAAAATATTGCAAAAGAGAGGCGAAACATAACCAAAGAACATTCAAACTCGTAAGTCCAAAATAAACTGAACAAAATCCATCAAAACGTTTAATCCCGCTGCAAATGTTTGCACCTGTCCTAAGTCAGGAATCTGATTACAGTAGTTGTCGTCTGTTTACGTAGTTCATACGTGTTTCTCGTTTCTCGTTTTTATATAGATTAGACCGTCGGTTTTTCCGTTTGAATGGTTTTACACTAGTAATTTTTTTGGGCCCTTTATAGCTTGCTGTTCGGTTTGGGCCAATGCTCCGTGTTGAAGGCCGTACCTTGATCTATAATGTTTAACTTTTATAAATTGTTACTTGGATGGAGAGTTGTCTCATTGGCACTCATCCCACATCTTCCTATATCTATTGACAACGCCATGGAAAACAGAAAAGGGCTAAAAAAAACAACAGTATACAAAACACAACATAGAAAATTAAAGACTGAGCAACATAAACCCCACTTAAAACAGGGGGTGATCTCAGGTGCTCCGGAAGGGCAAGCAAGGATATTTAACGCATACGATAATACAATATAATATACTAGTTTAAGCAGTTTTCATGTATTTACAGGGAACATGGCCAGTGATTGGAGTAAATGTGGTGTCTGTGATTATCGTCAGGTTACCAAGCCATCAGTAGTGTGGTGTTCCGAATGTGATGAAGGACTTTGTAGAGATTGTAGCGAACACCACAGTATTTCCAAGGCATCAAGAAACCACGAAACCGTTTCCATCGCAGAATACAAGAAATTACCGAAAGAAATTCTCCAAATCGCCCAGTTCTGTAAAATACATAACGAGAAATATGAACTTTTCTGCAGGAAACACGACTGCCCGTGCTGCAAGAAATGTGTGAAAACGCATAACAATTGCAAAGATTTAACCGACATCAATGAAATCACATTAAACGTCAAAACATCAAATGCCTTTTATGAAATCGAACAAAATGTATTGGAACTTGCCGAGAATGTTAGGCGAATCCGTACCAACCGTGAAGACAATTTAAAATCACTGGAAGTCAAGAGAAGAGAAATTGAAGCCGAAATCAAACAAACTAGAACCAAATTAAATACTCGCCTAGATAAACTTCAAGATGAAATAATGAAGGAATTAATGGCAGCGGAACAAACAGAAAGCAGGAAACTACAAAAGTTGCTGTCTACTTTAAAAACTAAGGAAACAGAGATCACAGAATACCAAACAAACATTTGTAATATTAAACAGCATGCATCCGAACTTCAAACCTTCTTGGCAATTAAACATATCGAAAAGGATTTAAAGGTCCAAGAAAAATTTATTCGGTCGATTACGGACAGTGACGCCACAAATCAAGTCAATATTTCATATCAAGTAAACAAGTCTTTACAGCAAATCACAGAGAGCGTTCAGAAGTTTGCAGAAATTAGTATCAGTTCTGTTCGATGTGATTTGTCCATTCGGAAACGGAAGGACAGACAAGCCCAGATTACGGTAGCTCTTCCAACCAGAAATATCGATAACCTGATTCTGACCTTACAGAAACGTATCAATACAGGGTCGTCAAATGTCCGAGGTTGTTCTATGCTCCCTGGTGGTAGGATGATTTTCTCTAGCTTTACCCAAAAGAAAATAAGCGTATTCAAATCTGATGGTTCAAAAGATTTTGAAATGAATAATGCCGAAGGTACCTTCGATTTGGTATTTATTGGTGATGATTCTATAGCAGTTACATCTGGCTGTTCAAAAAAGATAAATATAATCGACACAAAGAACAACAAACTGAAAAAAACATTAAGCGTAAATTCATACAATGGTGGAGTAGTATACAAAGATGGACATTTGATTTATTGTGGAAGAGAGAAAGGACTACAGATGGTTAGTCTAAGTGATGAATCCATTACCAATGTTACCAATAACAAACTCTCAGACTTAGCGTACGTTACAACATTCGGTGACAAACTGTTCTATACTAACTTTGACAATCACAGTGTAACCTGTTGTGATTACCATGGTAACATACTGTGGACGTTCTGTGATACAAGTGTTCTGATGCATCCGCTCGGTATCTCTGTAGACAATGGTGGTAACGTGTTTGTAGTGGGACGTCATACTGACAATGTGATCGTCATCTCTCCTGATGGACAACGATACAGGCAACTTTTATCAAGTGAAGATGGACTGAATTACCCAAATGTTCTGCACTATGACACATCTACCAATACATTGTTAGTGGCAAATGTTGTAAAGGCGGCGTTCTTGTTTGAAGTTGAATGATTAGCATTATTTTGTTTGGAAAATGTATTCTAGAAATTTTACGTTTATTTAGATATAGATAATTTCATTCGAAATAAATATTTCCGGCTATAGTAACTCAAAGACGGAATACCAATACTTTGAACTTTATTAGCAAGGTCCGGACAGTACCAGACCTAAGACCTAAACTGACTTCAAAATAACATACAAAAGTATATATAAAAAACAGTATCTATAGAAAAGGATTAGTGTCCAACGGATTAACTTTATATCGTCAAGGTGGTTTCCATTACGACAAACATATATTTAACAATAGAATTAATTAAACACAAAAAAATGCAAATGGTTAGATAAACGGATTAACAAATTGTCACTTTAGCACTTAAAATATATTGTCTGAATTTGCTTTATTTCTAATTCACATGCATTTGTCCAAATCTTCCGGGTTATATTAATCGTCTTATATTTACTTGATTCATGAACATTAAACAAAACTACATATGAGGTTAGGATTGTGTTTACCGAATATTGGCTGATAGAAAAATGTCAAAAATAGAGAATAATCGGATGTTCAAACAATAATGATAGAAAATGGGCAAAAAAATACAGAATATACAAGAACAATGGCATAATGAATACAGAAATAAATATCAACGCCCTATCATAACCCCTTACTTACATATGCTTGACAATGACCATAAAATGAACACACTAATATTCTATCTGATCCTGCATGTTTACTTTGTTTAGTAATTCAGCTCTTTTAATTCAGAAGAACACTGTACATTTTCATTAGGTATCATAACGGGTAGTAACGTCGTCATATCGATGAGCGTTTAGTACAGTGATTTTGTCATAGTTTGATTAAGTTGGACATGATTGTGTTAAGTGTTTTTAATGGCAAACAATGACGGAATATAAACATTCGTTGTTTGGCTATAGGAACGTTTGAACATAAATTCAGGCTGGTAATTATCTTTGTTTATAGCTAATATGTTAGTACATTAAAATTTGTATAACAAAATTAATAATTTCATACAGAATAATGCTTGCGTATGTCAAATTTTAAAAGTTGTTTATTCGTTTCTCATGCATAGAAAGATTTGTTTACTGTCTGTTACATCACATACTTCGTAATTATATAAAACTGTCGTCAATTATTCCCCAAAATAGCTACATTTGCACACATTTTTAGATTACTGAAAATTTGGTGTCATGGCTTGGTTCAGTAGTGTCATTGTTTAGTTCATGTTCGACTTGGTTCAGTTCTGTGATTCCTGTCGTGTACGATGGTAGAGTAACGACAAAAAATAAACAGACATTATACAATTATTGAAATACTGTTAAAAAAATATTTTCGCCGATACCTTTTTTTTTGCGTTTATCCCATTCTATCCTATTTCGAGGCAATATGATGTCGCCATTTGCTAATGTTGTTGTTTTGTTTCCATACGAGTAGATCTAAGTTTCACATGTTTACGTTGATTTTCTACTCGCGAAAATACATCGCTCGAGAAAATAAGTCGTCTATAGTAAATTTAAGATATAATCATTATAGTTATTTTTATAGAACACGTATGTGTAAAGAAATCACGAGGATAATAAATACATGCATTTCAAAGTTAATTTTCTTTAAAAGTGGTGTTATTTGGAATACAAAAGGACCTAAGAAAGCACATATAGTAATATATAATAAGTAAATGCGGTATGATTGCCAATGAGACAACTATCAACCGGAGACCAAATGACGTAGATGTTAGCAACTATAGGTCGCCGTACGGCCTTCAACAATATACAAAACCCGTACCTCTTAGCAAACTGTAAAAGGCTCCGACAAAATTAAATGTAAAGCAATTCAAATGAGAAAACCAACGTCGTGATTTATGTTAAAAACAATAAACGAAAAACAAATATGATATACAGTAACAAACGACAGCCACTGCATTACAGACTTTGGACTTGGTACATACAGGCACATACATAATATTGCGGGCTCCTAACCCTCACCTCGCCTTAACTTGGGCAGTGGTGTAATAGCACAACAAAGAGGAAAAAACTAAAATAAATAAATTGAAAAGGATTTGACTCATCAGATCGATACAAAGCAAAATAATCAAGTAACATAAACACCACAGACACAAAGAACCGATGTGTAAGAACTCACATTTACTGGAAACTAGTTCCAAGCCAATAACAACTAATAAAAAAATCATGAATCCAAGAGCAAACGTTACTTTTATTTCAGAATGGAATTCTGCTGCCAATATTCATCTTCAATCATCTTCTATATTCTATTACTCAATACAAGATTTTTCTGATAATAAAATGAAATATATACTAAATCCAACCACTAGTCAGCAAGTGAAATCTTTAGGCTCCTTTATTAAACAGTCTATGGAACTGAGGACAGGGGGCACTTGAGGTCATTTGTTGTGTTTAATGTTTTGGTTTATTTTTATTTTTTATGTACATTTAATGTCATCATTATATTGTTGTTATTACATGTAATTGTCATGCCTTTGGCCTTCTTGTGGGTGTAATTTGTGCTTTAATAAATAAAAAAAAACTAATTAAAAACAATGATTTCTTGATTAGTCGTCGTACACAGTTTAAATGAACTTCTACCAAACTAAATACACGTGTATCTTCTAATTTGACTTTTTTTCAATCACATTTAATAATGTACAATTTCTAATACTAAATACTAGATCGACAGAGCTTTTTCTGATATTATAAAATATCGAAACTTCATTGCATAAAAGAAACAGGCTTAAACGGGTTACGTGAAACTACACAATACACTTATACAATATGACAAAAACGCAATGATTTTTTTTTATTCGTAATTAATAATTGATGAAAATGGACATGATACCGACCTAATTCTGATTCGAAATTGTGATCTTTAACGATTTGACTAGTGAGGCCGCACACGATATTCCCGGCAGAGTTCATCATAGTCATACGGAGGAAAAAATCTATGTGAATCAAAAGCATCGCTTTCCTGTTTTTTGTAATCTATTTTATCGAATGACAGTTCAAAAGAGCAGTGGCTATATAAATCTATCTTAGGAAACACAGAAATATTCTCTGCGAATCTTGTTTTGTACGATAACACTAACTCCAACTTCCAATTAGCATGAATAACTACAGATATTATCCTTCAGCCACAGCCCTTTCCATCTTTCTTCGTTTATGTTATCACCAAATCTGACTTATCTCAGGATTTTACTGGTAGAAAAACGACGTTGCCATTAGTAGAGCAGAAACTGATTAGTCTTCGAGAAAACATTAATTCACCTCAGATTTATGATTATAGATACGAGTTGCTTATGTTTTACTTGTCGATGTAGTGTGGAGTTGACTGTTCTTTCCTAAGGGTTGCTTGTTATAGAAAATTGTCATCCCTGTACATCTCCCATCCTGCAGTAAAATCCTTGCTAAAATGAGCGATCGATTTGCTGTACGGTATGTATAAATATGCAGCCACTTCCGTTCGGTCAGAATTGAGACGTTCAATCTGATGAATCGTGTAGGTTGCGTGTTCCGCTAGCTCCACATTCAAGAAACCCTTACAATCAGCAATGAGTCAATCATAGGATCGTTTTTAGTGTCTATATTTCATTTGCCTGTGAGTTTTGATTGTGATCTTTGTTTTGTTTTTTTTTTTGTGAAAAAGGGTACATATGGTATAATTATGTTAACCGAACAAATATATATAATTCACAGTATTGTGTTGAAATGTGGACAAGGGTCCTTAATCAAAGGATTTGGGGCTATATCTAACATTTAAGTTTATTTTCTGATAAACAATAATTATATTATGTGTAATATTGATAAAAAGAGAACAACTTTTGGCATTTGATATTTTTGTTAATCTAGACAAACTAGGAACAACTAAAGGTTAACAATAATTAAAATAGTTTACTTCTGATTTAAGATAATCGCCTTATATAAGTAAATAACGTTAATCATAATATTTATAGGGGGTCTCATTGGGGGGTTCTGATCCCGGATCCCGCTTACTGTTTTGTCAGATTCCCGTATCCCGCTTAAACTATGTACGTAAGCAATTCTCATTTTTTTTGTAATTTCCCGTGTCCCGCTAGACTTCATTTCCCGTTTTCACGTCACAATGATTTGACTTTCACGTGTCACGCTTACAAAAAATCGGCAATCCCGGGTCACGCTTAGACCCCAATGAGACCCACTTCATATGTATCGAAGATGAGTTTGTTGGTAACAGAGTCTGGAAGATCAATATTAAAGTATTGACAGTATTTTTCAAAATTATTTATTTTGCGATACCCATATATAACTACCAAATTCATTACTGATCTCTTGAATAATATCAACGGAACAAATTGCGCTTGTCTACATTTAATGTCTGTTCAGTGGTTTTTAATGCTACAATAATTGAAAACCCAAATAATGACTGAAAAGCAGATAGAGCCGAAAATGACTGGGACAAGGAATCAGAGCTATTCACGATGGAGAACGGAAATACACCTTATCGCTATTTGTCCGTCATTACTGGACATCACAAAAGTTCCCATAAAATTTTGACGTCATAATACAAAATATCTGACGCCACAATGGAAAAGTGATTGTTGTATGACGTCAAAAGTTCAAGCGGGACAGATTCTCGGGTCAGCCGGGAATAGCGATAAGATGTATTATCAATGTCATCATCATATACTTCATAAAAGAAGGTTATACAAATCCTGTCCTCAATTTAGAAAAAAATGCGTCTTTAAAAGTGCAATTACTGGCCATTCAATTTTCTTCCTGCTGTAGATCCTAATTGTATTAAAATGCTATTAAATTTACTTTAAAAAATAAGGAGATGTGGTATGATTGCCAATGAGACAACTATCAACCAAAGTTCAAATGAAGTGGACGTAAGCAATTATAGGCAACTGTACGACATTCAACAATGAGAAAAACCCATACCGTATGGTCGGCTATAAAAGACCCTGACATGAAAAATATGAAACAATCTAACTGATAAAACCAACGGTCTAACTTATAACAAAACAATTTACGAAAAGCAATTATGACAGCCATTAACCAACAACAACCACTGAACTACAGGCATCTGACTTGGGACAGGCACATAAAGAATGTGGCGGGAATAACCATGTTTGTGAACGCACAACCGTTCCCCTAACCTGGGATAGTGGTGTAATAGCACAGAATAAGAACAAACTATAATCAAAGTACTGAAGTACTGAACATCGGATGACCGCAGGTTCTTGTGGATGGTCAAAAGCACATGTCACAGAAACAGATCACATCTCTATACCTGAAACTGAGGTTAATTTACAGAGATTTTTTTTTCTTATACAAGTTCGTGCTTGGATGATGAATAAATGACAGGAAATTCAACCTCACCGTAATAACTATTATATTGTAGTGATACAAATCAGTATACCTTAGACTATTATACTAATATAATAATAGTTCCAGAGAATACACTGGTTTGTTGTTATATATTATATTAA